AGAGTGAGAGAGAGAGAGAGAAAATGAGAAAGCAAGCTACCAGGTCCTGGACTTGAACCATGGTCAGCCATGTGGGAGTCCAGCGCCCTTACCCACCATGACACCTGCCAGCCCTGGTGGCAGTTTTTAAATAACTTATGGACTAACAGGTGGCGTGGTGGTTAAGGTGCTGGACTCCCACATGGCTGACTGTGGTTTGAGTCCCAGTCTGGCAGCTTGAAAATCATGCTGGGCACCTGTGCCCAAAATCCAAGGAGGAGATTAGAGAAGGGGTTGTGGTGTGGCCATCCTCCTTGAGGGGATTTCTCACTTTCCCTCTCACTGTCTCTCTTTCTCTTCAGTAAGTACACATGCCTTATGGAAAACACACACACACACACACACACAAATTCCCTTAACTTACACTGAAATTTGAAGTTCATAAATTTTTCATGTTATATTCTTTTTTTTTTTTTTTGGAGATTATATTCTTTTTTTTTTTTTGGAGAGATTTTCACTGTAGGGCGCATGTGCTCGCCAGACAGACAGAGAGAGACACAGAGACAGAAAGCGAGAAATCACCCCCAAGGGGACATGGTCACGCCGCAATCCCTTCTCCATTCTCTCGGGATCCTGGGCACGCACGCACATGCGCCTGGCGTGAGTTCCAAGCCACCGGGTCCGGGACACCAACCGTGGTCGACTACGTGGGAGTCCAGCGACATAGCCATTACGCTAACTGCTGGTTCCCCATGTTATATTCTTTTTGAAATTCTTTTCAGCTATTTAGATATGTAAAAATCATTCTTAGCTTGAAGGCTATATAAAAACAGGCAGCAGGTGGCCCTGGGGCCATAATTTGCTGATCATTTTCTATGACAATTATTCTTTTCTTGAACAACTAATTTTCCTGCACTGATGAATTATCCTGGTTTTCTATTGGGTTGTCAGGAAAATCATGAAACATTTTTGCATAGAAAAAAGAAAAATATGTTGATTTCCCCAATGACCTAATATATGTTTGGTTTCCCAAGTTTTTCTGTTTCTTTTTTTTTTTTTTTTTAATTTTCTAGAGTGGGCAAGTGCTTGCTAGAGAGAGAGAGAGAGTAAGAGAGTGAGAGAGAGAAAGAGAGAGAGAGAGAGCAAGTGAAAGAGAGCACTCCCACGCCACAGTCCCTTCTGCATTCTCCTCTTGTGACTTTAGGCATGTATGCACATGTGTCCAGTGTGTTTCTCAAGCTGCTGAGTCTGGTACTAGCACTACAAAGCTGGCTGGGTGGAATCCATTGCCTTAACCACCATACCACCTGGCCCAAGTTTAATAAGACCCCAAGTTCTTATTAATTCAACATCAGAATCTTCAACAGTAGGGGCCAGCAGATGGCTAGCGGTTACATCGCTGGGCTCCCACATGGCCAGCTGCAGTTGGAGTCCTGGATCCCGATGGCTTCAAACTCATGGAGTGACTGGGACTTCATTTGGTCATGTGGGATCCAGCCTCCTTAACTACCATACCACTACCTGGCCCAAAAAACTACTTTTGGATGATTAATCTTATGCATAATTTCAAACAACAGAGATGACGCTAAAGTAGTTCTTAATCACCTTCTTTCAATCCCAGTTCTGACCTTTAAAGTCTTTATTAGTTTGCTGTCTCCCATTTAAAGTATACTCTTTCACATTTATTACAGGTAAGAATAAATAGTTTGGGCGGCCTGCAGGTGGCATTGTGGTTAAAGGTGCTGGATTCCCACATGGTTGACTACAGTTCATGTCCCAGCCCCTTCTCTGTCTCTGTCTGGTCAAATAGAAAATAATAATAATAATAAATGGAACTAAATAAAAATAATTTTTTAAAAGAATAGCTTGTGGCAACTTCTAAACCTCCCACTTAATTTACCTTCATCTTTTCACACAAATTAACCTTGATCAAGAACAACTCTGTATTTCATAATGCAGATGGAGCAAAGTTTATTCTGCTTCCTTCTACAAATGAATGACTAGGTTTCTGCCATTCTAATTTCTCTACCGCCTCGTCCCTCCCACCCCCTCATTAGGCTGGGGCTCGAGCTTTTTGTACAAGTGTGCAAGTGCTCATGGGCTAGACTCCCAAAAACGGAAAAGCTGTGATTATTGTGTGTTCCATTCTGTAGGCTCTGGGGAACCACTGCGGCTACTGGGGAAACAAAATACTCC